GGTTATTGTTTTCATAAGTTGGATTCTTAAGAAAGGAGCTCCTTTAAGAATCCTCCAGTGGTGCCCTGACGCCAGTCGCCTCGACCCCCGACCTGGGTCTCTCTGCTACGGAGGAAGTAGAGGAAATAAGGTCATGCGTGTGTACAACAACATTAGATTTTGTGTGAATAGTGTTGAGTGAAACTGATTCAAAGTCGACTGAATTTGGCTTAGGTACCTGGGGTGAGGGCTGGTGTTGAACCCCAGTCTCCCGGGTGACAGGCTGTGAGGGTGGCAGTGTGCCACCTGTGGGGTGATGGGAGGTTGGCTCTGAGTGTTTTTCAGTTGCCTGTTGGGGGAGAATGGAGGGAGATGAAGGCGACGAAATGGAAGGTTTGTTGAATGGGGTGGGGAGAATAGGTGAAAGTTGTGGGGTGGGGGGGTTTTGAAGTGCTTCGTGCGTTTCACGGGTGGACCGGAGGGAAAGGCGTGTTTTAGAACGCTGGGGCAGAGGAGTGGACGCACTCAGTGGGCATGTGGGGGGTGGGGAAAGGGCCCGAGGTCTGACGTGGGGGTGCGTCGCCAGAGCCGGGGATGCTTCCATTAAAGGAGCACGGACTGTCTTATCCGAGGTCTGAATGACGACCTGGGGGTAGATTGGAAACGGAGGGGGTGAACCTCCTATTTCCGGTGCAGAGGTAGGGGAGGGCCCGGGGGGGGGTACGGGGCTCTCCTCGGCCGTGGCTGGTGTCCCCGATGGTTGGGTTCTCTGACGGTCGGGGTTGGATGCTGGGAGAGAGACCGGTCTGTGGTGGGATGAGGGGGCCTTCGGGGGAGCGGTTGGCAGTCTCCTGCGAGGTGTCGGGACCAGGGTGGAAGGGGCCTCGGGGATGGACGTGAGGGCAGGAGTGGGTGAAGTCTGTGAGGAGCAATTTTTATTAGCAGGGGGATGTGTGATGGTGGGGGGGTCCAGGGGAAGAGAGGGCTGCGTGGAGGCAGAATGTCAGGCAACCTCCTCGGAGAGGGAGCTCCGGGGGCCCAAATACAGCGAAAGTTTGTGGGGGGCCTGTGCCAAGGGTAAAATAGGGAAATCCTGATTTTCGGGGGTTTCTGGGATGGGTGCTAATGCAGTTGTATGTGTAGTGGATGTAGATGGGGGAGGTGTAAGGCGGGCAGTTGGTTGAGGAGGGAAGAGAGGAGGGGGGACCGGTGAGGAAAAGCCCAACAAAAGGTAGACTGTGTGGAGTGTGAGAGGAGAAAGTTTGGGCTTTTAGGGGTGCTGGGATTCAATTTAGGGGTGCTTCAGCACCCCCAAAAATGGGCTAGAAACGCCTATGGTGGGAAAAAAACTTACTTGGTTAAAATATTTATACTTACTGAATATATTCCAAAACATGTAAGTTTAAAATCCATGCCATTTAAGGTTCATAAGCATTGT